CGTAGCCACATATATCATGTCAATGTAACTGGTCAATTGAGCAAACAACGTGCGCAAAACAAATACACCAAGAAAAGATTGGCACGCGTGGACTTGCGTAAGGCATGGCGCCGCTAAATGTGAGCGTATGGGTACCATGTCTCCGGTATGCATGCATATGTATGTATAAGGACCATCGAACCCAAAAGAATGTTCCATGGAAATGACCTTAATGCCCAAAGAAATTTTTGTGGAAGTGGTGACCTTAATGCCCAAGGAATCTTCCGTGGAAATGGTGACCTGAAAGTTTTTGAAGGTCAAAGAAAATGTGACCTCGTAAAACTGGGTCGTTTACAGCAGGACCTCGTAAAACTGGTCCTTTTGAGGTGGAGGGTATGAACTTTAACTCTAGAAGGACTCAATGACATGGCCCACCGGAAAGCCTAAACGGGTCTCTATGACGATCATCAACCTTTGCTTGCTAGACACCGTTCAAAACAGCGTGGACATCCAGGAAAGACGGTGAAAGGTAGAGAGACCAAAGATATTGACCTGAAGGTTGGTCTCAAGCAATGTTGACTTGGTCCTTAGCGCTACCAGCGGCGGTGCTGATACCATTTCCCCAGTTCATCACGCTTCCCCTTTCAGACTTTGTCCCAATTTCAGAGGTTGCTGAATCCTGAATTCAGAGGTTCTTCAAACTTCAGTTCAGAGGTGGTTGAATTTTGAGCCAGCTCGAAGCCAACTTGCTGTCCCAACTCGTAGCAGCTCACAGATGGGGCCTAGAAGAGGGTGTCCCTCTCTTCCCAGGTGTTTTTTTTGAAGGTTCGTTTGATGGAGAAAGCGTCCATTTCCATCGGGCAGTTTGTGCGATCTGGCCGCACTGTGTGCGAATCCAAGCATTCTCCAGACACGCAGTGGCCCAGAGACCAAGGCAGTCGCCCAAGACCAAGTTCTTCTACTTCTACTTTGTCACTTGGGCGGTGTGTTGGGCTCTGTGGGCCCCTTTCAAGCTGCCCACGGGTGACCACGGATCGCTATATTCCATTATATTCCGTACTCCATTCACATGCATTGATGAAGGGTTTCTTCATATATGGGCAGTAGTGGTGCTATAGCACTTCAGTATCTTCCATGCACCTCTTTTCTTGAGGGGCACATCGATGTTCCCAGCCGTTTTTCGGAGACGATGTGTGGCGATGTGCGGCGAAGCGCGAAGGGAAAGCTCATCCTGGATCCTATCTATACCTGGACCTTCAAAGGGGTCTCCAATTAACCACAAGGTGCTGGTAGGGTCAAACCAGGTGACCCCGACATCCAGGTGCTGGTAGGATTCGATCCACCATTGATTTTACTTAGCCTGCATCTCGAAATAATCCATATTGTTTAATCATTTCGCACTACAAAAGCCACAGTGGCAATTCCCCAAAAGACAGGACCCTCAAGTCTTCAAGTCACCCATGCTTCGACCTGTTGGGTTTCCCTTCCCAAAGCCGAAAGCCTCAAGACATCTCAAGACCTGTTCGAGTGTGGAGGGTACTGCAGATATCAAGAATCAGAAGACTGATAGTTCCAACCTCCCAATCTGTCCATCCTCATGCGACCTGCTTTTTTCCCTTCCGGACTGGAAATCCGCCCCATCTTCCAGGAAACTCCGGACCGAGCTTCTTCGCGGCCTCAGGACTTGCGCGATCGCTCGGACGTGGAGTTTCCCAACACGGCGCTGCCCATCGAACACTGGAGGGACGAGCAACTGCTGCGTTTGGACTCCGCCTTGCTGCCGCCCGGAGCCACCGCCGAGTCCGCCACGAACCATAGGAGGACCCCCCAAAAGAAGCTGAAACATGCGCTGTGTGACACATCCTGGCCTTTTGCCAGGTGAGTGATGGTGAGTATGCGTGGGTGTTCAACCCCGACATAGGGCGAGGTTGGCTTCACTGAGAAAGAACCTTCCTGAAAACCCCTTCTCCCCAAAAAGATACCAAGGTAGTCCAAAGTACCCCACCCTTCCCCCTAAACAATAGCCACGCACGATCATCTCTCCCCCTATTCTACCAGTCGACAAGCACGTCACAGTCACGCCCCCCACACACAAAAAAAATAACACATAACCCAGACGCTCCATGTATGGCATATTTGCCTACATTGACCCCTGAAATGGCATACATGGAGTGTTTGGGTAATAACAAAAAACACATCAACTCACAAACCTCGTGCTTCGCCTCCTCCGGGCTTCGGTCCCTTCACCCTTCCTCTTCGTTCTTCCCCCCCCCCTCGGCCCCAGGCTCAACGACTCGGCCTCCACGGCGGGTCCCATGGGCTTCGGACGCCTCGTCGACGCGGCCCGCGCCGCGGTGGCCGCCCGGAGCGGGGGTTTGAGAGGGGGCGGAGGTCGGGGAATCCCTATAGGGCTGGTGGAGTTGGGGTGTTTCGGATGGCCAGGGGGTCCTGTCAAGTGCCACCTCCGAAGGTGGGAGGGGGATGCCGTCCAAAGACCTGAGGAGGTAGGCGTTGAGTCTTCGCGAGGATTTGGGCCTTTGGTGTGGTTGCTCACTTACGAGATTTGTAAGGGGTTGACTGTGTAGGTTGGAGTTTATTTGTTTTATATGTTCTTTTGCTCTATAGGTTTGTATTTGCTCACTATGCAGCCTGGGCAAGCACCTCATGTATCGCTGAAGAGAACCTTCCACTTCTGCACTGGCCACGGAATTGCTTACATCGACTTTGGCTCGTGCTGTGTATTATGAGTCTTAGGGATTGGTGTGGTACCTTGAATTCTAATATAATTAATAGGAACTAGTCAGCACATGAATTAAGTGAAGGACCTTCAAAAAAAGTTGCCCAGTGCTGCTCGGAAATTTGGATCCTTCATTTTTGCTGGCTGTCCGCCTTTCACCACCTCGAAACCAACGAGCAAAGACTGGACAAAAAACCTCGTCCCCAGAATGGTGTTTCACTCACTTCGATCCGAGGACGAGTTCGAGGATGGTGATGGCATTGTGATCCCCAGCATCACGGGCGACCGAAACACCTTTGCCAGCCTCACCTTTGACCGAAGCACGGCCGTCGAAAGGAGCGTTTCACACCGCGCCGCCGCGTGAACCTCCGCGCAGCTCGAAGGGATCGCAAACACGCCCGCAAACACGGTGGGGGAGCTGGGAAGTTCACTCATGGCATACACACCTTGGTTGGTTCCCCTTCAGAAGCTCCAAGTGACCATGGGGTGAGAGAACTCGTTCTTTGCCGTGATTTCAACCTCGGTGGTGAAGATGTTCAATAATTTTTACTACCTTGCCACGGTCGGCACAGGTCTTTGTGCTCTTGGTGTTTTTTGTGGTTGGAATCTTTTCACCGAATGACACTTCCCTTTTGTCCCTATGTTCTGAGGATGTGGGCCAGGAGCCCTAGGGCTATAGACTCCCGTCACCTCCAAGTAGCGCCTCTAATGTCACACGCCGCGCCGTTTTTGTTGGACTCCCCGTTCGCCGCGCGTTCTCAAGTGAGGGCCATTTGATGGCCCTTCACTCGACTCATGCAGACTCTTGACCAATAACAATAACACCCCACTATAGAGTTTGTTCAATCCAACTTGGGGGGTTCATTAATCAAGAGTCTACATGACCCCATGCGTGCCCAGGAAACCTACACAAGCGCCTGGGTCCAAAAGCGTGAGCGTGAGGAGGTTCACCAATCCTGACGATTGAAGATGAGAAATGGACCCCAGCCAGTTGGTACGCTACGCCAAAGTCCCCATCTTGGAAGAGATGTTAAACGCCATAAGCTGTTCCAAAGTTAAGATTCGATCAGATTGGAAGCAAGTTCAAACAACATGTGGCTGTAGGTCCAAACCGACCTACCAACGAGGCTTGCGGACTTATACCACCCCGGGGGCCCCTTTCGGTTGAGACCCTTCAGTTTCACCGGGGTCAGGCTGGTGAAAAGACCCATCCCCATCCCAACGCGCTGGTCAGCGCTGGTCAGTTGAGATTCGGACCGCGATTCCCATCGTTCCGCGAAGCCTGAAGGAAGGGTGAACTGCTGAGAAGACACTGCACGAAGACACTGCACCCAGTGGTTCCACATGTGGCTACACGGTGCTAATGTTGGGACCCAATCCTTCCTGGCAGATGGAATGCAGTATGGAATGCCTAAAACGAATAAGGCTTGGTGGTGTTCGTTTCAATAAGGGCTCCACATGGGAAACTGACGAGGATCAAGTTTCATGATGGGACCCTGTAAGTAGGCCCCTTCAATTTTCCTTCATTTTGATGTTTTTTTTTTCAAGAGATGGATATATGATATATCGTGAGATGGATGATGAGAACGATCCATGACATCTAAATATCTTTTGAGTTTACTTCCATTCCAGATCGAACCAAATAGCTGGGTCTTCGGCGGTGTTCCATGACTCCTTCACGAATTCCATGACTCCCAGCGATCTGAGGTTCCGTCACTTGTGCGACGTTGAGACCCAAAAGATGTCCGCCTGCGCCGGGTGCCGAAGCGGTCTGACCCCCTTGAACAGTTCCCCTAGCCGCTCCGCGGTTCCCCACTAAAATAAGCATCCAGAATCACGGATATCACACCGTGTATGTTGTTTTTTTGGTTTTTGTTACCCCTTTGCCTTGTTGCAGAGCCTTTGCATGCCTTTTGCGAATTAACTCTCTTGGGAACATGCGTAAGTGTTTCCACTAGCAATAAGCTAATTTCATGTTGCAAATGAGCGGTTAAGGCGCATAGTAGAAGCGAGTAGAGCCACTGAGATATCATTGCTTTCCTTCGCTTGTCCAAGGGAAGCTTGGATTCACACTTGCGAACGTCATGTTCAAGACCCAAATAGCCCAAACAGATGACAGAACTCGGAAATTGCAGAGGTGGAGCCTAAAAACTAGATCGTTTCTCGGTCGAGACGCTCATTTTGACTTCAGGGTCGGGGTCGGGGTCGTGTGCCTTTTCCTCTCCATCTCATCCTCCATCTCTCTTTGTCAGGTCGCCGTGGTCCTTCGGTCCCACGTCGCCAGGTCTTTGGTTTGCAGCACTTGAAGGCAGGTCTCTCAGAGGAGCGGGAAACAAAAAGGGCGGCGAACGGTGAGTCGAGAGTTCACTCAGAAAGGCCTACCAAGAAAGCACCTTTCAGAAAGGCATGCCAAGAAAGAACCATGGATCGACCATGTTTTTTTCCACTGCATTATGGTGTGTTTTGTTGTTCCGTCTCACGTCACAACGAGTTAGTTCGTTCCAACTCTTGCTGTGCTCAAACGGCGCAAGCTGACAAGTGCAGCACGTGCAGATCTTCGAGGGAGGATGATAAGAGGCGCTTCCGGGTGTGCGCGGCTGAAGGGAAGTGCACATTCAGAAAGATACAAGATCATGCAAGAAAGTATCGGTGAAGGGTCAACCATGCAATGATCACAGTTATCTCCATCACTTGCCTTAAAAGTCGTGTGTGGTGTCGTGCGTGCATCCTTTCTTTGCCAATCAACTGTCGCCAAAACCATCTAACGTTCTCATCCTCATCCTACATGTGCTAACTCGGCATTGGAGTTGCTGAAAGAGTTGAACACGAAACCCCAAAGAAGCCAATTGTTTGCTTAAATCATGCTTTCTCAGATTGTGAGAAGTGTTTCCTCCAATGAAAGATGACTTGGAAAAGCCTGGAATCAGATGATCAGGGTGGGTCACCCGTCTCCTCCATGACATGACTTAAGCTTAACTTCTAAGCCCATCCCAGACACTCCATGGGACTGCCATATATGCCGATCAATTGACCCCCCAAACCACCACCCCAATGTATACGCATATATGTTATTATATATGGCAGTCCCAGACAGGTCGTGTCTGGGTCTTTTGGTTCGCTCCAGTCGTTCCAGTCGGAGTACCTTCCGGTGGACGTCGAGACGTACGTCTCGAGGACGGACGACGTCTCCGTCGACCTGCCAGGAGGGTCGGACGGACGAGGTGATCTTTGAGCTCCACCCACGTGGCGATTTGCGCTTCAGGCCGTGCGACACTGGACATGAGTAGTGGCGCGGACGACTTGTGGAAAATCACCACGTTAGACGGAGTGGTGTGACACTGGACTTCTGAAACGTTTTTTGGAGGTTTTGGGTCGACATGGCGCCATGCAGGTCACTTGAGTCTTGAGTCTTCTCTCTCAAGACGTCCCTGTTTTTTTCACACCACCGACGCTCAGAGCCGGCTCACACCTTGGACGCCCCACTGGAGCCCCCCCGTTTGGCCAAGCCAATGGGAAGCCGTTGGGGCCGGACCCATGACGTGCCGACTGCATCGGCGGGCGGCCTGGAGGCGGACCCTCCTGGTACCCATGCACCCACCCCAGTCCCAAACGAAACGAAGGTACGACTGGAGGCCTACAGTAGGGTGCAGGAAGTTCCTGACTGATTTGGGTGGATCGTCTTTCTTTTCTCACGATATATAGCCATCTATATAACCTATGACGCCATGTATGCGGTCATGTGCTTGGTGTTTTTTTTTTTGGCTGTTGGCGTCTCAAAGGTGTGGTTTACCCGCCATGGAAAGCAAACGCAACAAAGCAACATGCAGGCAGAAATATCAAGAATTTATACATGTATAGGGTCACACAAATGGTAAGGAAGGGCCGCGCTTTGGCGCCAGTGATACCTTGGGCTGCGTCGTTCAAGGCGTCGAAATGAGACGACCGACTTGTTGGCCGCGCCAGGAGAAAGAGAATGTCAAAGCATATCCAGTCGACATTTCGGACATGATTGCGATCAAAGACTCCATCGAAACGATGTTGGTGCGACGTGGGCCCTTTAGCAACTGGCCCATGTGTGTTTGATTTTTGCGTTTATGTTTTGATGGGTTTGGGGGGGATCTGGAAGAAGGGTGACATTTTGAGCAGGATATTCGGCAAAGAGCCAGGGGTCCCACCCTCAATCTGGTCTTGAATTCTTCAGGATCGGCCATGTTCCGACCCAGGCGATGGCCTAAGCGAACTCGATTCGGTCACACTGGGCGCTGTCACCAAGCTGCCCTCCTGGACGAGGGGAGGCCTTTGCTGTGGCAATTCGTGTAGCGCTTCCTCCCGAACTTGGCGTTGGAGCGGTGCATTGTGTCGTTGTTTGATGATGGCCGTGTCCACGGTGGCCCTCATCTTGCTGCTCTACGTCAGCGTGAACGGGATCCAGTACGATCATGTTGGAGAAGCGGGGGTCGGAGCTGCTGTGACATTAACTGTAGCACAGTGCCATGCCAATGCCACCGCACAACTCACTAAGGAGCAGAAGAAAGTAGGGAGTTGTGACAGACAATTGGCCTACGGTTTGGCTCGCATCGATGCGCATGAACTCTTGGGCGCCAAGGATATCTACGGTTATCCAGAGCGTACTCCCACCAAATACGAGGCGGACCCTTGGTTTGAGCTATGCTCATCGGACTGGGCGGGGTGGGTATACCCTTTTTGGTCGTCCGGGTCGGTCACCGCAAGAATCGATGTTTGATTCCACAGCTCCTTGTGTTAAGGAAATGGGTTGGACTGCGGAGTGGCGTTTTGGCATGAGATGTCCTTCTTTCAGAGCTGCTGTTGACTTGGCCAACTTGCTGGAAAGCATGTCGGAGAGGCAAACGTTGCTTGAACGGATCAAGGCGCGTATGTTTGAATATGCGGATGCCAATAATGCCAATATACGCGTGATGAACACTGCCGCGGACTGGAGGTTTTGCATTGATGTGGAGATGGAGCAGGTCTACAACCCTTGGCGGATGAAAAACAACACGATACCTCTTTGTATGCACACCGTTTGACGTCTCACCCTCGAGCTTGGGCCCCAAAAAATTCCGTCGATGGACGGACCTGAAGGACAACCGAGAACGGGGGAACCCCTAAAAAGACGAGTTTTATGTTATTCCCATAGGGTCCCTGAGGATGGTCTTGGAGGTGAGTACGTACTTCCTGAGAATGGTCTTGGGGGTCAAAGGACAGGGATTGACTTGCTCAAAACGATAAGATTGCCTACGGCCTACGGCTTTCTGCGGTTATCTACGGTTTTCTATGGTTTTTAATACGGGTTCGAAACTTGGTGCTTTTGGAAAAACAAGGTGACAGAAACACAATGCTTTTAGTCCAAGTGGAGCCAAAACACCATGTTCTTCATCAGGCCCGACCAATTCGGTTTTGGGTTCCACAGGCAGTGGAACAACATGATTGTCCGTGCTTCTCTCGGTCGGAACTGGCAGGGGGCCTTTCGGTCGTTTTTGTATGATCACCGTAGCGACATGCCAACCAGCGGCATACCCCGCATCTCGGCAAGCCGGTCTATACCTACTACCTACCTACCTACCTACCTACCTACCTACCTACCTACCTACCTACCTACCTATATACCTATACACTGACCTACCGTGGAAACCCGACCAGCTTGCCAGGCCGGTCTACCTGGTGGATACCCCAGGCTTTGGTGATGGAGAACAGCTCCACCGATACCGGGCTCAGGAGTTCACGTGGGGCGGTTTCCGCCACACGTGGTCTCCATGGACCAGATGTGGATGGAGCTGGGTCGAATGGACACGAAATCCCACACAGTGAAACGAAACGGATCTTCAGAAACGGTGCCATGAACGTTACGGTCTGTTTTTGTTCCGCTATATACGGTCCGCTATACTTGTTGTTTTCCGGCCGGCGACGCCAGGCAACCGGCCGAACAAGGAGGGTGAGACAGTCCAAACCGCCGCGTTAGGGCGTTTGGAGGCGGTCCAAACACGGCCCGAAGAGCATTTGAGGTCTTTTGCAACTTACATGGGCGTAGTGCTTACTATGTAGTTACAAGGAGTACTAAGTAGTTAGCAGACTAACCTCGATGTAAGAACCCTTCAAAAGGTGCACATCTTTTGCATCGGTCTTTTGAGGTCTTTTGACCATCACGAAAACACAGTCATCGGACTAATCAGTTGGGACAAACTGAAGCTTGTTTTTTAATCTCGCGACCGGTGACGCCGAGCGGTTTTCGCCAAACCAAGTTAAGCAGAGTCGGGGGTCTAAGATGGAACATGCTAGTTCGATCCTGAAAAGATTATAGTTCTATCACTTGTTCCATGCTGAAGATCAATCTAAGTTTGCTCTGTCAGACTATTACAATTCTCCCAAAAGGGCTAAGAGGGCCAGTCAAGTGAACGTCCTGAAAAGACGGGACAACATGCCATGCCCACGCAAATTCGCCAAGCGGCCAAACACGTGTCCAACGCCGGGCCGGTGTCAAGCTGTTTTTGGGGCTCGCGCAGCCGGACCTTTTTCGTGGATCACCTGCGTGGCTCACACTGCAATGAGCCTTGAAAGCAGACGTGGGGGAGGGGGGAGCGGACGGCAGGGGCAGACCTCTGGGGACGACTCGGTCGCGGACCGAGGTGCGGAGCGAGGGGCTCGCGGATCGGGGTCGGAGTCGAGGTCGGAAGGCCATGCAGCTGGTTTTCTTTCGCCACCTTGGCGTCTCACATCGTCTCAGGAAAACCGAGGCCAGAGTGGAATTCTGGCACTTTGGGCCCAAGGTGGGTGGCATGATGGGGTTTTCCATTCTGTTCGGTGGCCGGGTCAAATGTCCAACCCCCTCCACCGTGAGCAGCGGATGGCTCGTCCGGACCACTCAGGGCCGAGACCTTCATGAGCACCTTGGAACCAACGACGCGGGTCCGACCGAGCTGCGACTGGTTCAGACGGTCGGAAGCACTCCGGAGTGTCGCCGAGAAACGGCCAGGGGTGGGGGTGGTAGTAGGGGGGGGTCTGGCTTGATCGGCAGTCCGTCGCAGTCCCAGCTAGGTCGTGTTTGGGTACAACAACCCACGTGGTTCACGTTCTTTTTTTAGACATAATTTAAGCTACTAGGAACAAGTGCATCGCTTCTAGTAACAAGTGCCTTACTAGTAGTAACAATGTTTGCTAATAGAAACAAGAAGCTACTGACATAATGCTGTATATCAGGAGCGGGATCGGTTCTATGTCTCCGAAGCCCCAGGAAGGAGAGGTAGAAGCGACATCTCCTCCCAAAATGTTCGACATGGCTCTTCTAAGAACATGAGTAGTATCCTACGCCGACAGGTCTGGGAAGATTGAAAGGATCGCGAATTCAACATCTTTAAGCAAGACTTGTCGTCCTCTTCTCTCAGACGTCACCCACGTCATCGGTTCGCACCCCCAACCTGGTTTGCACGCTCAGGCACCGGCCGTAAGCCCACCGGGATGAAAGGAAAGGTGCGAACGGCGCGTTGGGGGTCGAACAAGTGTTCAGTCGGTGAAGGTGCCATGCAGGTGGAGGAGCGTACCGTGGCTCCTCCAGTTGGGCGATTGGGGTGTGGCCTTCATGCTCCTCATCCAGCTATCCTTCTCCTTTATCATAAAGTTATATCATTATAGGCTTCATAGGTATCAGAATGCAGGCGATCATGGGGTGTCTTGAAGTTGATTCCTCATCGAGGGAGAAGCTCTCTCATGGAGTTGGAAGAATTTCCTCGTTTTTTATGAAAGAACATGAAAGAATCAAAGAACTGTCATCTGAGAAGGTCAGAATGCCCATTGTATTTACCATGTTGGGGTTCATGCCTATTCCAAGTGTCCCCAGGTGTGCCCTCCGATCGGAACGCCGCCACCCGGGGACGGTCTGCGGTCCGCTGCGGGAACGGTGCCGGTGTTTGATGAAATCCGAAGAGCAAACCGTTTGTCACTCCAAATCATGGGAAGTCGGGTTCAAGACCAGCCTAGGGCGTTTGTGGCATTTGCCGATGTTCATCACTTGGAAGAACTATGTGTGCCACGGATGTGGTCCTATCGATCCTCAGGCGGCCCAGAGGATGTGCACATGTAGGGGATGATCAGCAAGTTCTTGTTGGCTTAGAAAGTGAGCAGACCAAGAGATGGCAGGCTTTAGACACCATGTGAATGAGGCCGCATTTGAGTTTTCAATCGTGCATGGGACACACTGTCACACGTGCACAGCAAGCCTGCGCAGACGGCGCAGACTGCATCCAACAGCACAGTTAGATCAATGCCAGAAAGGAAGAGAGCAATTTTGCTAAAGAAAGAGTCTGGTTAGTAGTCTGGTTATGTCTGGTTCGCTTCAGGGCTGAGGGCTGGAGCCACACCCTGGGCCTGCCCTCATGGCCTCACTCTGAATGGAGCCGGGCGCCGGGGTTTTCATCGCCCGGCGCAACGCGCTTCGGTACTCGCTTCGATGTGGGCTCCAAGTGATCCTGGTGCCTTGATCAGAGGTGGAAGGACCCTGGTTGGCATGGCTGGTGTGGTCCGCGGTTTTTCTCCTCAGCCCCATGTGGAGACGCAAATTTTAGCTCGAGTCCTGCTGGAGGCTGTGAGGGGAGAAGGATTTGGAGTGAGTTCTTGGTGGTTTCTTGGGCTTGCTGAAGACTTTTCGGTATGCAGATAGGTCATGAGGGCTGATGAAAACACGCTTGACGGATTTCAAGCAAATCAAGACATGGCCTTCAAAAAGCAGATTTGCTCGCATCCTCAACATTCATGTTCTTTTCACTCTTTCTGTGCTGTTGGATCATGTTGTTTAACTTTTCGAGACATGTCACACAATTTTGTAGGCGCACCGAAACACCGAGCCACACACAACTGGACAGTTGCATATGGGACCCTCAGTGGGACCCTCCTAGACACTTCCGAGATCGCTCGCTCGCTCGCTCCTTTTGGGTGGCCGTGGTTGACGACATCATCGTCCACTCCAGTAGTCTGGTCGACTCGTGTGCTCGAGATCAAGATACTTAGGTCGGGCTATGCAGCGCGAACATGTTCTCCACTGGACACTTTGGAGCAGCCTACAACGGGATTTATAGCCTCTTGGGTTGATGGAATGGGTTGGGGTGTCTGTGTTTTCATTGTGTTTCTTTCATATTATACTTTGTTGGAAAGCATCTTCTTGCAGCATCTCTACCAGGAAGCCGAAAACCCTGTGGGTTTTTGGAAGGACATATACAAAAAGCGTCGGGTCTTCATTTGATGAGGATTCGTGTCAGGCAAGGCTTCCAGGGGTCCGTCACCCGTAGGAAAGCATTTGACTGCCTGTAAAAGGTCACCGGATGGGACTCCAAAAGAGGTCACTTTGAAGCCGTGAAAACCACTTCTAGATTGGAGGCCGCTAATAGGTTGGAGGCCATTGCCATTGCGTTGGAGGCCGGTCCTAGGTTGCAGGCCATTGTCTTCCAGAAAGCACTTCTCCACCAAGGCTCCAAGGTCGCTCGGTCCTTAATGAAGACCCGCCGTGGCACGAAGACTTCGCCGCAGCGCAGAGCACCCGAGCGTCGGTCGACCACAGACCGCGAGCGAAAGAAGGACGAGCGCGCGCAGGTGGACGGACAGAGGCTCGCATGTGGCGTCGTGGAGAGTGGGGGTGGGGTACATATATACCCTAGCAGTCCAGTTTGACCCAGTGAAACCTGCTCTTTTGGTGCTTTTTGTATGACCAACTGACCAACTCCAGTAAAATGAGGTCATTGACCTGTAGGGATGTGATACAGCATATTATGAGTTTATGTAGTGAAGTTATCCGCCTGAGTTTCCAAAGGGCTGCCGTCGGTGACCGATGGTTTTTGCTTGGGGTTACTTCAGGATGGCCTTGTTAACCACGGAGCGAATTCGTATCAGTGCCCGAACCCCCCAAAGAATCGAAGTGTCGCCTTCGGACACATTTCGACCCAACCCCTTCCCTGGTCCCTCCCCAGGCCATCACCAGATGTCGCGGTGTATCCAGTCCACTCCCACTCCCTCCCACTCCCTCAGGGGGAGCCAATCGCAGAGCGCGCGGCGCGCGTTCCTCCTGAAGCGGCTCAGCGATCCGAAGCTGAAGACCTCGGAGCTCCAAAGCGTGGCGACCGACGCTTCGGTGCGTGTTCCCCCCGGGACCGGCGTGGCACGGAGCTCGGACCGCGGCGGGCTGGGCGTGGCGGTGGGCGAAGGCTTCGGGTGTTGAAGGAGGTGGAGAAAAGACCACCTGCAGACGACCTTCGGTGGTTTCTGCTTGGAAAAAGTGTGAGCCAATCACAGGCTCAGAGATGCAAGAGCCAAGGGGATGAAATGTCCCAAGCCAATTCCCGAGGTCACGGAAAATCAGTGAGCATTTGTGAGCATCAGACTGGAGAAGACTTAAGTTTGAGCTACCCTTTCGAAACAGGAGAATTCGGGGCTCTCTACCCGGTGCAGTTCCAAAACAAAACAAATCTTGGATGCGAGATGATGCATGTGAGTGAGATGAAAGCGAGCATCATTTTGGGGGTGTTTCCATGCGAGTTCCAAATTCACTTGATCTCACGCTGACTGGTGTTTCAATAAATCCAAGCACCGCCGCGGACAGAGCTTGCTAGTGCCAGACCCTGCTCTGAGAAGGGTCTGAAAAAGAGGATGTCACCAGATCCATGCAGGATTGACATGATTTGGACGTGGCTTCTGGGAATATTTGGGGATCAGACATCAATA